GGGGGGGCGGCATGCAGCAAAGGGCCACAGGCTGGAACTGAACCTGCAGCTGCTGTGGCAAGGACCCTGCCCCCACACATGGGACGCCTGCTGTACCCTCTGCACCACTGGATGCTTCATTTTTCAGCCCTGGAGGTTGCTTCCTGGTATGAAGATGATATGACTAACACATCAGCAAACATTTACACATCAAGCAGATTTACAGCAACATTAGCATTTAGTTAGATTTGTTCCTGGTCACCAGGATTTCAATTCACACTTCTTTAAGCTCTGTTTTCCATTCCCTCTAAGTTCTGAGATGAAAACGTGAGTCTACTGTACATTCATAAGGTAGTTTCTGATGTTACCTTTAACTTACAGTTGGTTTCAAGAGCTTTTTTCCCCCTGAAACACAGATATCTATGAAACTGTGTGGCAAATAACCCCCTGTAAAACAGCAAATTTTACTTTGGTTTTGGCCCAAACAAGACTTGATGTGTTAATTAGTGAGCTTTAGAGGTGCTGGTAGGTTGATTTAATGACCGTTAGACTAACTTTGTCCTCCGGTTTCCAGTCTTTGTGCTGAGCTCAGCTAACCAGCTGCCGTTTATAGCCTCATATTTAATGGACCGGTATGAGAGTTATATCAATTTTTTATATATATAAAGATGTAACTATTTGGGGCGTCGGTGACTTAGTGGATAGAGGAGGCGCCCCATGTACAAGGCTGTTGCCACAGCAGCACAGGTATGACTCCAACCCGTGGCCCTTTGCTGCATGTCATTCCCTCTCTCCCCCCTTCACGTTTCACTTTCCTATCAATTAAAGACAAAAAATATCTTAAAAAAAAAAGATGTAACTATTCATCAGAAAATGAACATTTGAAACTCAAAAACATTTGAACCAAAAATCAAACTATTCCTTTAATATAAAAATGTTGATTATAGTCGTCTCATTCTGTTTACAGAGTTATTAAATTGTTTGTTTGGCAAACATTGCTGTCACCAGAGTTTAGGCAGCGAAATAAGAGACAAATCATTTGGGACTAGTGACTTACAGCACTGTGGGCTATAGGAAGGTCACTCTTTGCCTTCCCTCTGGGCATCAGTCTTGAAAACAGAGTGACGGCTCCAGAGAGGCTGATAAGTAAATACAGTTTTAATGGGCTGTGAATTGCTGGTGGTAATCTGCGCAGGCAGGGAGTGGGCAAGGCACAGAGGGCGACAGGGCATTCTGCAGCGGTTATTATTAATGCTATCATAGATCAGATAGGCCAGGGGAGGGGAATGAAAGGTGGTGATGAATTTGGGCCTCCTGTCTACCAACTGACTGGAGGACAAGCTACTGAGGCTGGTTAAGGTCATGGATGAAGGATACCACCCAAAAGAAGACACAGGGGACGATTCATTATGTATAATATAGAGGATAGGATGGTATATTCCCCAGGGACCTACTGAAGGTCAGGAGGTGACAGTGGGAAAGTTCAAAAACACAGCCTGTAGTGTGTTCTTACTCACCCATATGGTATTCTTATTATCTGAATATCCCACAGACACATGATGTATATATAGACATTATATACCAACAATTGTTTGTAGTGTTCTTGAGAGAAAGTCTGTGCTCTTGCAGGAAACTAAACTGCCAACCACTTCAAAGTAAGAAATGATTATTTGTGTCTGAGAGTGGAAAGCGAGTTATGTTGTATGTTCATGCGTCTGACATTTCAGTCTTTGCTCTATGTTCAAGGTATGAAAGCTTCCAGATCTTTTTCAAGTCATCAAAGACCTGAGACCTTTCCCCAGACATCAAAGTCTTACGACCTGTCCTTGGAGAGGTCTGTAGATCTGAAAGTCACATGTGTCAAGACACAGTTGCGTATACTTTTGCATCCTAAATATCTCTTCAAATAAACTGCTCTACCTGTTTTACAAAACTCCCACATTTCCAATGTGTCTTATCATCTTTGGGAAGGAGAAAGCTGGTGTGTGAGGTTTTTTTTTTACAGCAGCTAAGGAAATGGGCTTACCATGTGCAGGACTTAGAGGAGTCTGGCTACTTTTTTTAATGACCTGCAGCTACAGACGATGTAACTCAAGCCGCTCAGGCTCTGTCTGGTGCTTTCTCTGATTTCCAGCTGTTGAACGGACCTCAGTGTAGCGTGGGCTTCAAGGGATTTGTCTGAGTGTCAGGCTATAGACAGGCTACTTTTGGACAGCTACCAGCCTTTGTGTGAGTGATGTTCCAGCCCACCATTACAGCGAGGGAAGTGACTGCTCTACACCAACACTTTTGTCCATCCCCCCAGCTCCACATCTAATGCTTTCTGCAGATGTACGAAAGTGGATTTGTTTCCACGATCAAATTGCACACATTTAGGAGGAAGCAAAAGCTCAGCTCCTTGAGGATAAAAATGGGATTTGGAGTCAACGAGAAAGGATGCCTTGAAATTAGGACAGAAGCAGTGGCTATGACTATGATTTCACGGCGACTAATCAGAGTAGTATCCACAGATTCTATCTGTTTAAACATAAATGGGTGATTTCCTCTCTGTTTGATAGGTGTTTGTTAGACATGACCTCTGCATACAGGGTGAAAGTATAGGTTCTGATACTTCTTTTCGGCTACAACTTGTTTTTCTGATGTACCTTAGTTTAGCTTGACAGCAGTCATAAACTGTCTGAGCTTTAAATAGAGCCTGAAAGCCATATGCATTTCACTGAAATATTGAAAATCTGTGCTTTTGCTGTAAGCAGCATGTGGTGTACTTTTAGTCAGAGGATGCATTTATATGTTCCTATAAAGTGCTATTACACTGTACACATACAGTTTCATTTCCAAAATGGTTAGCTTATTATTCCTTGCTTTGTTGTGTGATTCATGTTTGATTAATAAACATTGCCTGCTTTTGTAAAATCATGCATCTCAAAACAGCATGAGCATCTTTCTCACAATCAAAGTACAAACCAAACCAACGTTAGGTCCTCGAGTGATCACAGCATGGCAGACAAGCAGAGCAATGAAACAAACACTCATGAAAAGAATTATTAGACTGGTGGGTGACTCATCTGATATTTCTGTATTTAGAGACCATGGATCTTTCTTTATCTTTTCCTTCACAACACCATCTGGCCTGCACGAAAAAAAAAAAGAAAAAAAAAATCTGGCACACGGTTTAATCAATTACCAGATTACAGTAATGAACCACATTTTGTTTCATTTCTGGGCTGAAATGGTTTCAGTTTTGAGGAATTCATCAGCAGCAACAATTACGTTACAAACTCACAACAAATTCATTTAAATTAAGAAACTGCAAACATGAACATGATCACTGTGTAGAGTCATGTTTGCAGTTGCAGCCTCAGATGTAATAGCCATGGAGCAGAAATTATAATCATCAGGTAGGCTGCTAGAACATATAAGGAGGCTGCAATACACGTAATCAAGATGCATGCTGGGATAGGGCAGATCTTCCTGCAAGTGACATAGGCGGCCACCTGGAGCACCAACCTTAGACGAGGCGCCAAAATCCGCCTCCCGCCCCCAAAACACACATATAAACATACAATTTAAAAAACTGAACATGAGGGGAAAAAAATTCAAAGATATCTGATGCCAACAGTCAGTCTGTAGTGGTAGCACTGACACAGTTCACCTTCATGTGTTCATCAGTGAGTGATCATCATAGACGGATCATGCTAAAGCACTGGTGGGTAGGGTGGAACGGAGTGTTTGTGGAAAGTATTAATCCGCATTTCCACTGAACACTTTTGATATAGTCCCCTTAGAACCAGGATGTAACTCTTACCGACACTTTAACCCCACATCTGTTTTGCATTTCCATGTAAGTAGTTTGACATCCTATCTAACGTGACACAGGAAACAAGAGTGAGAGTCAGAGAAAATAAAAAAAGGTAGAAAAATAAATAAGACCTGGATGGAAAAAAGGAAAACAGACAAATTTTGTAAATTTGCACATTATTCAGTAATTATTTACTATTATTGGTTGTTGGCAAAGTTATGTATTAGTGTTAGTGTTTCTCATTTGCTCTTGTTCTTATTTGCAATAAATAGCTATAAGATTATATATGTGGGGGTTTTTTTGGGTGGAGGGGCACCAGAGAAGGCTTGCCTAGGGCACTGAATGTGCTCAGTCCGGCACTGGACAGAGCACATGTCTCTCATGGGTCTGAATAGGAATAAGTATGGGACATAAAATGAATGAATGAATGAATGAATGGTGGCCAAACGTGACAAAGACACTAGGAGCTCATTACAGATCTCACTGTAGCAACAGACTGCCTCTCTCTCTCTCAGGACAACATGGCGGAAGCAAGACGTCACCACTAACATGCTTTAATCACACTGGGCATTTTGTCCCTGTCGGTCATTTTAATTGCCGGTTTCTAATTGGATCTTTATGGTGCCCACAGCGTTAAGTGTCTATTGCCTTGTGTCCTCCACCTTCACACCTGAGCAGCTCTGTTCAGTTCACTTCCCATGCCACACGGGGTCACTAGTGCCTGCCGAGTGGCGCAATCATGCAACCAATCGGACATTTCTGATAACAACTTTTAAAGTCATTCCTTTTGACCACAGAGGGCAACGGTGACGGTGGGAAAGTGTAAGGCATTTAGGAAGGAGTGGTTATGACTTTGGTTAAAGGCGTCCCATCTGAGGATGAACTGTACTGAGTGGAGATGCCTTTGGGTTGAATGTGAATTGGTAAAAAGTGTTTGATATAAATATTTATGTGTATTCTTAGCACTACCTGTGAAGAACGGTGTGTTGCTGGAGCGCCACACGCCTCCCGATGTGTGCCAGTGCCAGTTATTGTCACAGCTATAGGCTTTTTTCTCCTCTGCTCCTCTCGACGCGCATTGGACGGCTGTCAGTGCATACAGGCTCCACTGAAACTGTAGCCTACTGCCCGTCTACATAAACATCGAAAGATGAAGGCTTGAAACCGGACTTTCGCAGAAAATTTGAGCCACTTGGTGCCAAAGTGTAATTACAAGTGGCAGCTTGAGCATTTGGCTCCGTGATCAGAGCTCTGCGCGCTCTGCTGTGTCTGCTGCTGCTGCTAGAGTTGCGCTCAGGACTGCCTGGGTGTGGATGGAAGCTAATCTGCGTTGCAATGTGAACTTATTTACTTTTATATATATAAGGCTATTTCATACACGATGCCGGCTGGGAGCTGCTTCTGCTCGTCCCCAAGTGTCGGACTTTACGCACTGCATGGTAGCCAACTTCTGGTGCCTGGTAATGCGGAGGATACAGAGCAGAGAAACTGACCAGCTGAGGACGAGGGATTGACAACGTTTGCTGATTTTGGAGGAAACTGTTTTGGAGCTCACTGAGAGTCACTGTGATGATGAATCACAACAGACGTCTCACCCCGGGTTTACGCATTTTATCAGGCGTCTAAGCGTCTTTCTCTCCCCAAAATGCTTCAAGGAGTGATGCAAAGCTGCGCGCAAGTTCCCTCTCTTCAGTTCTTGAATTTTGCAGACAAAAACAAGTAGACAAGACACGAGTGAAAGGGCTTTCAGAATTGTTTTGCGCGCGCACTATGATTTTTTTTAGCGTTTGCCAATGACTGGATGAGGCATGACATTTTTACCAGAGAATATGCTTTTTCATTTTTTACTAACGATGCTGCAAGTAGGATTTTTTCCATTGAATTAAGCCAGTTCGGCTTCCATACAATTTTGTGGGGGATTCTTGTTTGCCTAACGGCTCAAAGAAACATGTTGCATATCCTTGCGCTTCAGTCAGCGGTGTTACTTTTTGGAGGTAAGCACAATGTCAGCCTATTTACCTAGCCCTCTGTTGAATAAATGTGTGTTACTTACAAAGAATATGTAGCCAGACATAAAGAAGTTCAACAGAAACTGTAGCCAAAATACAGGACGAGTTCAAACCAGGTTTAAGGGACAAATCCTCCCTGAGACACAGGGGGACGCAGGGCAGTAACATCATGTGAGTCACTGTTGTGTGAGGGGTCTGAATATCTGAGTACATGTGCCACGCTGTGTAATTTTGCATAGCATCTAATTAAGTTATACTCTGTGACAACAATTAGAGTTCATAACTGTTCAGATATACATTATGTATGATGAAGAACCCCACTGCACCTGTGCAACATATCTAGAGCAGCTCTGGCCTTAAATAACATTTATCTCATGAATATTTCAATATGACAGGGATTCTCTTGTGCGGCTGAAGCATTGTGGCTTTATTACCTCTTGGCTTGTCAGGTTATTACATCAAAATTCATCTCAGAGGCCATCATTATTTCATGGGAAAAGTTACAGAGACCTGCAGTAGTGAGAGATCTTCATGGCTCACATCACAATATGACACAATTTGTGACAATGTTGTGTACGGATATTAGTATTATTTTTTTGTATAACTTTCTCTATCTATCTGACTTTTTGCTTAAGCGATGATAATGTAAATTTGCACATGACTTTGCATTAGTGGTGTAGTGTCACAAGGAAGAGAGCAGCTTTTACCTTGGCTGCCTTGCAGCCAGAATGTTCAGATCTGGGGGCAGCTGGTGGTCCGGCTAATGGATCCCTTCTGTCCTGTGGGGAAAGGGTTTAACCTAAAATGTTATTTGGAAAATTTATTCTGTACACCATCCTGAATATTCTCTCTGGATAATACCTGTCCGTCTTTCTTATTAAACAGATAGAACTTTACACGTTATGTCTTCGAGTTTACAAAAAGATCTGTTAAGCACTGCAGCTGCAAATATTCAATTTAATATCAACTGCACCCAAAACATCTTTCTTATTCAGTGGCTGTGTTTGCCTTTTTTGCCCTGAGGCCAAGAATTATCATGTGATTGTATTCATAAAACCCACAGCCACTCATATGTCAGTTATGATCAAAATAAAAGGAACGCCTATGCTCATTTTCCTACAGAAACCAGAGGTCATGCATTTCCAGAGAGTCTGTGCTAAACACTCTCAAACTGCATCTGACACATCTATTGTGCACATACACCTTGATTGTGCCTCTTCCTCGCAGCTCAGAGGATGACTCTGATTTGACAGCGCCTCTGTTATGAGTGCTAACTCACTGGCTTGAAGTGTATGGTAATGATGTTTGCCATATGCCAAGGCCTTCTCAGTATCCATACACAGTATGATCCTAATTGAGCATTGTGTGTCATAAAGCTGCAGGACACAGCTTCTCACTGTGAATAGTGATGAAAATTGATAACACACTCCAGGAAATGAGAGGATCAAATCCGTGCTCAAAAAATGCCTGCACAGCACAATGAAGCCATAATTAGGAAGAGGAACCTTCTGGTATTCTGGTGCGACTGTGACGATATCCTTTGTTTGGGAAGGCAGAATTCTTATCAGGAAAGGAGGACCTAAAATACTGCCTAAAAATCTGCTGAATAAAATGTCATTGTGATAAAGAGAAGATAAAGAATAAAGGTCTTTCTCTGTTTTCAGAGAGCTGGCCTTATTTCTCATATTTTATAAAGTCTGTCCTCTCTATTAATTGAAGCCGCAAGGTGTGTTCCAGTGAAACACCTCGCTGGGATTCCTGAGTGGAATATCCAATCTTCCCTCCCTTCGTCTTATCCTTGAGCTTAACAAGATCCAAAAGGGGATCAAGCAAGGATAGCCTTCAGTCTACATCTTTAAGTACTAAGCACACAGCCCATGCCGTCTTATGTCCCCGCAATGTGTCTGTCCTCATGCTTCTATATCCCCATCAAGGGATTGGGCTTGTCCTGTAGGGTTTTTTTTAGGAACACCAACATTTTATCAACCCGGCAGAGATTCTTAGGCTCTTTCTCAGTGGAGAGTTTTTATCTGTAATTGTCCTCAGAAAGATCCACTGCTGTGGTCCTGTGCCCCAGTGCTGTGGCACACATCCAGATCCTTTTCTCTTTGCCCCTGGCAGTCCTTTAAGCCTTGCAACTCATGTCCTTGAGCGAGCAAGCACCAAGAAATGAGAGAGAGAGAGGTGACATGCTGCATGCACAGAGAAAGGGTTTGTTTTAAAAAACTCGCCGGAGAAGAGAAGTATGACTCAAATCAATGGGCCGAAAGTTGTTTGTGTGTGAGATAAAGTGCGAGTTCAGTCTGAAATCTCAGCGGTGCAAAAACATGTTAACTTCCAGCTGAGGGAGTGCACAATGCTGAAAGACTGTCTTCATGCTTTGAAAATGGTTGTAGATTGTTTTTCCTGTCATATGCGTCTCTTTGGTTTAGGTTGAATTGGATGGTTTTCGTTGAATGTGAAATGATCGCCTGTCAACCACAAGGCCTGATTTCATCAATTTTCATTTTGACTGTGCTCCTCGTCATAATGCACTGGAAGGATACGTTGAGAATCTCATTGAGAACTACTAATCCTAAATCCTGTTTCAAACCTTTAACAGCTCATCAATTATACTTGTATAAGAAGCATATGGTCATTAAGATTTAAATGAGTCTCTGTCCTAAGTAAGCTTCCACTGGATGAAGACATGTAGTGTCATTTTGTTGGTTTGCTGGCATTAGCTCGGTTATGGTGTTTATTCACGGATCAAAGAACAAGAGCAGAACAGAAGAAATCCCTGGCTTGGTGGTATTCTTATCAAGGCTACGCTTTGAGAACACTGTGGTGCACTTTTTAGATTTCTGAGGGAGGACACTGATAAAAAGAGGCAGATTTTTCCCCTTCTCTCAAATCCAATTTTGGCGTGGCTCGGGTGTTTTCGCAGTTCTCTTCATGGAGAGAGAAAGGAAAAGAAAATCACAGTAGCAGCACAACGTAAGCTGGGTTTGGACTTCTTTGCTGTGTAATTACCAACCATCACAAATGTTTTATACACTTGGTTTGTGTGTCAAACTGTGCACCTTTGTTTGTTTAATGACCGTTTTATGAAACACACTGAGTAGGTGGACTCTCATTTAAATCCCTTGTACGGCTCTTTCATGCTCATTATACTTAAAGTGTGTGTGGGAGGCATATATTGTAGCTTTCCAATCACTGAGTCAAAAAAGGGTTTTTGCCCCCATAAATTCACATATCATCAGTGTAATGTCCTATAATATTCCCAGAAAGCACATCTGCCCCGTGTTAATTGGCTCTCTATAACTGCCATGATCTCACATTCAATTTAATCAAATTTCACGATTAGGGAAGGTGAATGGAGGAAATCGGCGTAAAAGCTTTAAAGGGAGGGGTTGTGAATGTGTGTGCCCAAAGAGGGGGGGTCATTGTAATAATTGACAAACATGCTGATGCAGTGTTTGTGCCTTTTCTCATCAGTGGATAGTTGTGTCTGAATAGAGGACTTCCCCCTCATAAATCTGTTGGGGGAGTTCACAACCAGACTGTGTGCTCCGGTTGCGCTGCGTCAACTAGGTGTGGTGCAACAGAGGGAAAACACCAGAGACCAGCAGCGCGTGCCAGACTGCACGCTGTCTCAAACTCATGCTTGAATGTGAATTTACAGTTTATCATGAACTCGGGCTGCACTGGCAATTTTAATTTAGAGTTACTAGGTATCAGATTTAGGACTCATAATGGAGAAAATCTGCGTGGCAGAAGAAAGTTAAAACAAGGCTAAGAGTCTGAAGCTGTGTGAGCAATTCTCTATGGTGGCATGCTGATGCTAAAAAGTCCAGTGTGTAGGATTTTGGGTGATATATTGGCAGAAACAAAATCTAATGTAATAAATATATGTTCTTTAGTGTATAATCACCAAAAAAATAAGAATTGCTGTGTTTGTTACCTTAGAATCATCCGTTTATATCAACAAAAGGAGTGGGTCATTGTCCATGGAGTCCGTCATGTTGCACCGCCATGTTTCTACAGTAGTTCAGAACATACAACCCATACACTGGCTCTAGATAGGGTTATTTGAGTCTGCGTGTTTTTGTGTTTGCCATTGTAGTTAGCAGCCCATCAGCAATGAGCCAAACAGTGTCAGAAAAACACAGCTCGTTGATGTGAAACAGCTTTATTCAGTGTTTTTACTGGTTTAAGTTACCAGTCTGTTTGTTCTGGACAAGAATAAACCTCTGTGGATAATTTGACTCCTGGTAAAAACTTCCTGAATGTCTGGATCGCAAGTTATAAGAGAAAAAAGGTGAGCACTGAGACCAAAAGGTGAGCACTCATTGGCAGGTTCTGGGCTAGCAGCCCGTCTGCACTGAACCAAACAGCTTTAGAGAAACACTGACCTGTAACTAGAAACTGCTTTATTCAGTGTTTTCCCTGGTTTTAATGACCTGGTCCATTTATTTTGGAGAGAAGGAGACCTCTGTGGATATTTTGGCTCCTGGTAAAAACGTTCTGAACGGTGAACACTGAAGAATTCGTAACTGGGTGTTAACACTTGGCACATGATTTCAGCTTGTTGCAATCTGCAGTCCTCACAGCCACATACCACTAAATCCCACACACTGGTCCTTTAACAGGTGATGTTTGCCACGTTCATCATCTAAGCTCAGCATGTGTTAGTTGTGTCTAATTAGCACCAAACACAAAGTACAACTGAAGCTGATGGGAATGTCATTAGTTTTGCAGACACTGGGTCATGAACCAAAGTATTGGTCAAATTAAACTTTTGACCTGATGGTGGTGCTATTTAAAAAGTCATGGGACCGCCAATATTTAAACAATTAATTGTCTGGGCACCACAGCATGTACCAAATTGAATGTCAATCCATGCAGTAGTTGTTAAGACATTTCACTCAAAACGGCAAATTTCAACCTCATTGTTGGACTAGAGGAAAGATCAGGATCACCAAAGATGGTAGGAATAATCCTCT